CGCCATCAGCTGGCGGCGGCGGCGGCAGCGGCGGCTGTTCACCATAGGAATCAAGGGCCAGCTTGGCACCACCGCTGCCGTTGGATTCCGCTGGCGCCTCCGCCGCCGTCGCGGTTAGCGGAGTACGCAGCTCCGATGCCGCCACCAGGCGACCTGCACCGGAAGATGAGTACGACAGACCGGCCTCTGGTGGCGTCATCAATGCCTAGCAATCTTGTTCAGGAAACAATGCGTCGACACATGGGGCAGGGACCCCATGGACCCCGTGTGAGCCAGGGTCTTGCACTGCACGCTGTGTGGGTCCTACCACTGCCACTTAGAACCTACCTGTCCCAACAAACTCCACCACCACTACCACTATCCACATCCCCACCATCACCACCACCACCACCACCACCACCACCCCACCACCACCCGATCACCGCGCCAACAACGCTCCACGTATCCAGACCCCAACACGAGTACAGCACCGTACCTTCCGCAAGGGGCTCGTACACCAGGTATTTGAGCGAGGACGAGGTGGGCAAGTTCCATCTCCGGCCCCAAAAATCCGCCAGACTGGTTTGCAGCCAGGGTCGCTCCCAGGAGGGTGCCACTACCAGTCCGTGCGCCCACGTCACCAAGGCGGCACAGGCATTAGCCCACAGGTCGCAGTAGCAGCACACACCGAAGGCTGTAAATAACAAGCACAGAAGAGCGCACAAGGGTGCATGGCCGAGGGGTCAGGGACGCGAACACTAGTCAAGAGCTTTCTTGTTGATGTTACCAGCACACATACATACATACATACATGAGCACAGCTGCTGTACGGATACTGCATGCTGCGGGTAGATCACCTCCCGCACCTGCCGAATAGGTCTTGACGAATAGCGGCACCAATGGATGGGTCAGCGTGAAGAGCGCCAGGAGGAAGACGGCTGCGTCGGGTGCACCGGAAAGCCGCGTGATGGAGGAGGCCATCGTTCGTGGGTGTGTGGGAATTACACGTGACGGGTATGTTTACACAAATTCCAGGCCATGCTTTGGATTGGTCCAAGGAAAAGAAGACTGCATGTTGGTGGCGCATGGAGGATGAAACCGTGGCGCTCTGCTTCAAAAGTTGCAAAAGATGCCAAAAGACACCAATAGCTTCAGGAAGATGAGGACCCTCAAATTTTGAGGTTTAGAAGGTCCTCACCCAAATTTTCTGGAGCCCGCCAAAAGACGCGTTGGAGGGCCACAGAGACACGAGCTCGCCTGCCGCGCAGGAGCTGCACACGACCTTCCGGGTCTGAGTAACATTGCAAATTTGCAATCCATTCAGTAAGCAAGGAAGGAAAAACAAAAAAGCAGGGAGCCGAAAGAACCGGCGTTAGAAGCCGAAGGTCAGTCCGTTTTATTCAGCTGGCATGCCGAGTCACATCCGGCGGAGCGCGGTTGGTTAGTTCGGTTGGTTCGGTTGTTAAATTGGTTGGTTGCAGCTTGCAAGCATTTCACCGCCCTCATCCTCCTGCACGGGGACCTCGTGGCACGTGTACCTCCTCCGAAATCTAGAATCCGAAAGGATACGAGAGTGGGAAGGTTCGTAGTGTGGAACGGTACACAATAAACGCAGCGCAGCAACTCGTTGCATCGTAGGATCCAGCGGCTGTAGGGCATTTTTCGTCCGACCCACAGCGAGGATGGAAAACGACATTTCCTTGTCTTCGTTCCTTGCCTGTTTTGGGTATGATCGGCCACAGCAATAGCGCGGTGAATTGGCCAAGGGTAAGGTCGCGCTGCGTGAGCGGGCCCCGGCCCAGGCAGAGAGCCAGCAGCTTGAAATTCGCCAGCCACAGCAACATCGCGGCTGCGCTGGCACGACTGATAGTTTGGACGTCAAACAGGAAGGGGAAGTAGCTGTAGAGGAGCAATGCTGGGAGGCACAGAAGCAGGCGTTGCAGGCCGGGGCGCGTGCGGGCCGCCACCGCGCGCACGGCCGCCGCGGAGGCGACGCAGGCGAGAGGAGCGACTGTGACACATGTGGCCCAATGGGACCAGGATTGAGGCGACATGTTGGCTTGCGAGCAGTCTGCACCGCACAACCACAGGCTCTGCCAACGCTGAGGCCGGTTAGTTATGGTCCGTGGGTCACACGAGCCCTTTGTTTGCTATGAAATCCACATTGAGCAAGTTACTAACCCAAAAGATGTTTGGTGTATATTTTGAGCGTAAGGTCAGAACGATATGTCTCAATGGAGGCCCCAACATTGGACGAATCTCTGTTATACCCCAAATCCGGTGATTCCCAAACGTTATTCAATTTCTCACCAATACGTTTATTTGCAACAGAAACATAATTAGCAAATTCACGACTTTACCACTGTGCCAGACGAGAAGGTCAGGACCATCCGCTATTTTGCTCATCTATAGCATCTCTCCGCTCATAGTACTGTATCATTTTCCACAACTTAAGTGAAAATGTCATTTGGAAGTGAGATTGCCGAGAGGGCAGGTACGCCGAAAACCTCTACCCTGTATGCCGTCGTTCAGCCTGTTAGTAGAGGAAACCATTCTTACCATATTGGCTTATGCATACCTGGCAGCGTCGTCTGCTGGAGCTGGGCCCCGTGTTGTCGTTATGCGGCGAGAGGCGATACCAGCAGAACTTCTCCTAGTACGAGAGGACGCAAGCAAGTATGCATCCGGTGTCGTGCAATCGAGAGAACAAGTGAAGGAGGCTCAGCGAAATATTCAGTGGGCCAACAAGCGGGAGCACATGTTCGCGGCTGTCGCCGCAGGCTTTCACCTGCTGTCATTTGCAATAAATCTGGCGTTCTGGGGCTCCGAGGGAATGCCCCCCGATCGCTACTGGCCAAATAGCCCCAGGTGCGAAGGGGTCATCAAGGTCACATACTCGTCGTGCAACATGGGGACGCGAACAAAACCCTTTGCACCGCCATGTCCGCGGCGCTTCACGACTAACCCGGTTGCCCGCATCCTAACGACCACCATCACCATCTGCGGCATGTTAAGATCAACACCCGCATACCAGGCCAGCAACAAGCATCAGAGCACAAAGTACATACTGCGAAAAGTACATACCTAACTTGTGGCTCTTGGGCCTCTAGTTCGTATGCCTCTTTGGGTAACGCAACCGATGTGTAATACACACACATTCTCCCGTGCCGCTCACATCCCCCTCCCTCCCCCGGGGGCACTCTTTACTTCCCTGGCGCAGGATCCGGCTCATGATCCGGCCAGGGCGATACGGCAACGTCGAAGGCACACAGCGCGTGTACATGGACTATTTGGCGCGCACGGAGGGGGCCTTGAAGCCCAGTTCTTGAGAGCTGCTGGGGCAGGACACAGCACCGCACCTTCACAACCATCGTGCAGCAGTCGGAGTTCTTCTGGAATAACTAAAGCTATGTCGGGTTTGGCAGCATCGCTCAGCAAAGGTTCATTGTCGATGTGGGTTGAAAGGGAGCGCAATGGCAAGCGTTAGCACCGGTGGCTGAAGATAGTGTAGTTCTAATGCTTGTGGACTGGAGCGATTTGATTACTGTAGCTGCGAGAGTTACTAAAAGAGGGATGTGTTGGCTTGACTGGACATCTGTTGTGACGATGTATCCCGCCGGAGGAAAGTAGCGATTGCAAACTTATGTTTGGAGTGCACATGGTATGGTGAATTGGAGTAAACCGATATTTCTGCTGTAACAAGTTTCTGCAGACTCACCTATCAAAAGTTATTTCAGACTGTTGTCCACATATGTATAACAGTCAGACCAGCGAAGCGAGCATGATCCATTAATCCCCAGCTGCCAAATCCAAAAGACACACATCCTGTGACCACCTATTTTCGACACCAGCACCGTGTGGTATGGCAACACCACAATATCTACTTGAGCTTTCCCCCTTATTCTCCTTACTCAGCAGCAAAACCATAGCGTTTAACATGGATAATCTTCGCACCAATTGCTTTTCATACAACTTCCACACCAACCAAACTACATCGTTCTGCCGGTTCTGCACATGAAGGAGCAATTTAACATCTCCATGCAGCACAAACATACATAAGACACACAAGCACAAAGCACACAAGGACAACTTAACCACATGTTTCGGACACGGTAATCTTATCTACGACGCTGTGTTACGGTTATGTCATCAGAAAGTGCAGTGTAGTGAAGTAGACAGCGCACCTGTACCGCGTGTGCCTTCGGACCGACCTCATCATCGCGCCGCAAGCGTCCACAGCATAATAGTCACACCACGAAACCGCCGCCGCACTCTTCCGAAGAAGCACGGCCTCATGACTTTATGCAATACGTACGATGGAAGACCCATCCCTTCGGCTGCGCGGCTGAAATTCCCGGCTTGAATCGTCCATGACATGAGGACATAAACAAGCCAGAGATACAGACCCGTATCTATTCATTCTCGGTAGCGCCGTAGCACACGCACACCAGGCACCGCGCCTATGCGAACCGCCTTTCAATGCTGCTATGCCGCAAAACCCCTACAGCCGACAGATTACCGGAACCCCGTCAGCAACAGCACTGCAACACATTAGCACAAGAGGCCGCCGCGACAGTAGCCCTTCCGTCGTCTCCAGTACCTGATCCCTCCGAGGCAGGTTCCGACGTGGGCTCCACATTCGACAATCAGCAGCACCGCTGCGACGGCTGCTTTGATTGTTGCTGCTATATTGATGTATGTAAGTCCGTATAACCAAAGTAGAAGCATCCAGAAGGCGAGCAAAAAGCCCACGACTCCCCATTTCCACAGCCCCAATGAAGTTCCCCGTAAAGCAGCGAGGGATTGCTCACCACCGGGAGCATCCCCAACCTTCAACTTACGCTCCCTCCTCCCTCTGCCTCTCGCCTATCCCGCCCACTTCGCTCACCATCCCCACCACCGTCCTATCGGCTTACACCTGCGGCTGCGGTGGCAGCTTCGCCAGCTCCGCCGACACCTCCCACAGCTCCGCTGCCAGCTTAGCGTCATAGGTCTGAGTGGCGGAGCGGACCGGCTTGCAGCGATTGGCCAGTCGGTTTCCGCTCAGCTTCCGCAGCGGCCAATCCCACAGGCTGGTCACTACTGTGGAGAGGCCCCAGATAAGGCCCTTGAAATTCTGGCCCGCGCGGAAGCCCTTGCCGCGATAGCCGTCCAGCTTGCAGAGCAGCGGTGAGCAGAAGAGCCCCCGAGAATAGTATCTGCGCACACGTGGGGCCACGGCGCGCGGCCTGTACGTGATAAGAAGCTACGGCCCCCAGAGCACGCGTGCATCCTTCCCCGTCCGGGGACTCTAGCCCTGCACCCAACTGCCGTACCAAATGGCACTTCAGTGGACGGGTACCCATGTGCCCCCCCTGGTGTACGGCAGTACGTACCGCAGATCATCCGCGGGGAGTACGGGTGTGCCATTTACGACCCTGCGGTTCTTCTCCCAGGGGACGGTGGCCGCGTACACCACGCTCTTAGCGCCGTCAGCTGGCGGGCTGTAGCACAGGTCAATGATGGTCCTGTAGCGACGGAGTGCCAGCACCAGCGGCGAGGACGGTTAGCAATTCCGTTCGCATCTGGAAAAGCGACCTAGAGCTCACGCCAAAATGCCGTGGCCTCTCAAGAACACGGCAGATCTTTCTACAACACAGAATTGTGGAGCGTTGCGTCCTTTGGGTGGCGGCCGCAGCACGTCTGTCCCCTCCGGCACTCCCGCACGCCTCACCCGCACGCAGCCTCCCCCAGACACCTCCCCACCCATCTCAGACTCAGCAAACCCTAAGCAACCGAACACGAACCCCCGGCCCTTCCAAGAGCCCCCAGGTTGCGGAGCAGCTCCCCGCGCCAGTGTGCGCACGCGAGGACTACCGCCTTCCACTTCCACCTTCCCGGCCCCAGTGAACCCAACCCGGCGAGGCCCCCTTCCCTCCCAGGACACCCACTTGTAGATGCCCTTGCTGAACATGGGGCTCTTGTCCCAGATGTTGGACTTGACACCCCCGGGGTCTGCTGCGCAGGAGGTGACGCCGTGATTGCCCAGACGGCGCTGTAGCTCGTAGGCGAACAGCACGTTGGCCACTGCAGGCGGGGAGCAGCACATCGCAGAGAAGAAAAGTAGCCGGGGTGAGCATGTAGGGGCAGTAGTAGGACATCCTCATCAATACCATCATCAGCGGCGCAGTAGGCAGCAGGCGGGGAATCAGAAGAACCACAAGAAAGATAACCCATCAGGCGGAAACCCCTCTTCAGACCAGAACAGTTCAGGATTATCAAGGGAGACGCAGCATGAGGGTCAGCATGACGTGTGCATATTTAGGACATGAGGACCCGACTCGGCTGGCGTGGCGTCTGCCGAGGCGATTGGCGGAAAGCTAACAGGGGGGTTGCCGACGGGCGGCACGCCCGACACCCCGCGAAAAACAACCCTGATCCGTACACAAGTACATGCATCAGTCATGCAAACATCAAATCACGATGGAAGGAAAGAGTATTTGATGTTCGGATCTGACCCATTTAAAAAGGCTTACGCTTGGAGTGTTGGTAATAACCCGAGCGCCAATCGGTGAGGAAGGACCTCGCATTCTTCATGATGATGGTTCGGTGGGTCACTGAGGCAACCGTCACCACCCTGGCCTTGCTGGCCACAAGTTTCTTCTCCAAAAGCCGCGTTAGTGTGTACGGGCCCAAATGGTTGGTCTGCCAGTGAAGTGCAGGGAACGCATCATGCCGATATGGGATAAGGTTTCGTAAAGGGGAAAAAGGGAAAGGGAAATTTGAGCGGGCGGGCAGGTTCAGTCGCACAAGGGAAAAAAGGTATGTGTTGGGGGGCCGTGACGTTAGGCAGCGCAGGGCAGACACCGGGCAAATGTCCATGCAAGTCTGTGGGATATGCGCTTTAAAGCTAGACAGGGTTGCGCGTGAATTAAAAATAACCAGATCAGCAGGTGGACTTCATGACAGGTCGCGGACCTACCTGAGCAATGCCGCCAACACCCTCGGGGGTAAACGTCTTCGACATGAACGAGACACCAGCGTTGTTGATGAGGATGTGGAGTTGAGGATACTCTTTGTTGATGTACTCCGCGAACTTCTGAACGCTCTCTTGCGAAATCAGGTCGAGAGGCGGACCGATCACAACCTTTGCGCCGGGATGATCCTTTTGTATCTGTTTGACGACATCTTCGGCAGCCTTTGTGTTGCGGACGCCAAGGATAACCGTGGCACCCAGACCTGTCGATCGCGCGCGCAAGAAACGCTCACTTATCTTGTTTGCTTCATTTGCCGCTGCACGACCTTTTCACATTGTCGATATGCACTTTAAACACTCGCAGCACTTACCTGCAAGCGCCGATGCAGTTTCGAGACCGATGCCGCTGGTGGCACCTGTCACCAGCGCAACCTTTCCTTTCAGTGACATTCCTATATGCGTTTTTATCAAGCAAACTACGTGCGTAACGAGTAGTATTATAACCCAGTAGCCTCGACGCTTGTTATGAAGCTTGAAACTATTGTCACCCCCTAAAATACTTAAACCCTTCTAGATTCTAGAAACGAAAGTCCAGTAATGTGCTGTAGGGCGTGTGTCAGATATAGGCTGTTATTACCACGAGACAAACGCTTCAGTCCAAAGCTTTCTACAGACCTCTAACGACCTTGGTACAACCAACTTTCGTTCGTTCGAGACATCGACAGATCTGCTGTGCGCCAATGGCCAATCATCAAGTCCCGAGCCAATCTGAGAAAATTAAAGGAAAATGAGACATTAAAATTACATACTCATGGAAGCACAGTATGACACAGCCGGCTTTACTGTGGGCGATTTTCTTGCAGTTATAGACAAGCCAAGCAGTCAAACCTTCATCCAGTATATACACTGCATAAACTTCTGGTCCGTGATTTTCCCAATAACATCTCCACCATAGCGCATGTACCGTCGCTGTATAATTCAAAAAGCACAATTCCCTCAGGCGACCTGTATGTGGGAAATTGCAACGGGCATGGGACCGGATGCTCCAGATTCAGCGCTGACAGATAGCAGGCATTGAAGGCAAACATCCTGTACCAGGGACCTCATACGCATGTGGCAAAACAATGTTGCGTCAATGTTGCGTCGACTTGCGCAGGCACGCACAGTGCTAGCACAGCGCAGCTCGTCCCAAACCCAACTGCACCTAAGCAAACAGTCAGTCCCCAGCCGCGCCATGCAATTCAAGATGTCGTGACAACTACACCCAAGTCACAATCAAAACCTAAACAACGAACCCAGTACCCACCTCATGTGTCATGCGCGCTGCTTCGTCGCGGAGCGACTGGAAGAGCACGCTGGACAGGTAGCGCTCGCCGAACGACGGAAGCACCACCACAACCAGCTTGCCCGCATTCTCCGGGCGCTTGGCAACCTACATTCACACAGATTGAGTAAACGACGCAATTCCCCCCTCGTAATCAAAATAGCCCCCTGCGCGACGGGGTGACACAAGAGCACACACACACAATCACACACAAAATCACAGACGCATCGCTGCTTTCCTTCTCCCTTTATTTGGCAGCAGCAGCAGCAGCCGCATCAAAACCATCATTACCAGCCCAGAGACGCGAGAAAAGAAGCACGCGCAATCGTATCCTGGCAGGTGCCCTCACGACCCTGCAAACAACAGCGACCCTGGCCCACCTTAATAGCCGCCTGCACGGCCGCCCCCGAGCTGATGCCCACCATGAGGCCCTCCTCCAGGGCCAGCCGGCGAGCCATTTCAATGGCGTCATCACTCGAAACCTGAGCAGAAAGACGCCATGGCGGAGAGGCGGGAAAGTTCACAGAAAAGGGGAGGGAGGTGAGCAACCAGTGTTTGCGCTCAAACTCATACTGTAAGCCCCGCGTCCTACACCCCTAAGAACGCACCGGGAATATATATTTCCCTACTGTGCTCTTGGGTTGTTATACCTGGACGCTACACTTGAACGCCGCGACTGAAAAAGCCGCGTCGTAACGGAAAACCAACCATCCGGAATTCTGAACTGCCATCAACACACGACATAATGGTGCGGTGGGCCTCGTGCTACTCCCGCAAACCTAACCTCCCTACCCCATCACTGCAACCACACCACACCACACCACACCGCTGAGCAGCAGCTTATCGCCGGACCTGAACAACCTCGCTGATCAAAGACGTGTCCAGCACCGCCGGCACAAAGCCCGCACCAATGCCCTGAATCTTGTGCGGCCCGGGCTTGCCGCCGCTCAGCACCGGCGACTCCGCGGGCTCCACTGCCACCAGCTCGACCTTATCCTTCTTCTCGCGCAGGTAACGGCCCGTGCCAGTGATGGTGCCGCCAGTGCCCACGCCTGCTCAAAAGGATACAAGTGGCCAGTGGTAACGAGCGGTAACAGGATTGGAGGTGGCAAGTGGGCCATGTCTAATACAGCTCTACTTCATCCAGCGTGTCAGGGTTAAGTTCCGGGGGCCTTGGTATTGCGTGGGGAGTCACACGTGAACGGAAGCACTGCGGCACAACGATAACATGAGGAAAGCTATTGCGGCTCAGGTGATGGCAGAATCAAAGGTAGCAGCAGCACCGGCAGTAGCTGCAACAATGACAACAGCATCTGATGAAACATGGCGCGTGGGCCCTCTGTAGTACATTTCTCTTTTTATATATTTCAGCGATTAATATTAATAGCTGTTTAATTTCGTTGATAACTCGACACAAGTTTCGTACATGTCACGTAATATCGTCATGTCACATGACAGATGTTCGTAGCGAACCTAACGGGCTGGGGCCCCGGGCCCCACCGACAGTATCCTACTACAGCAGGTCCGTAGTAGAGTTTCGTTCCGCAGGGATATAAGCTACCCGAGCGAAATGCTCTGGCCAGGCACATAAAGTATTACGAGTATTCAAGACTTTGCTGCCACCGTCTTAGCTACTTCATATCATTCTATGACCTCTAGTGCCTGCCGCTGGGTTGGACTCCTTCCCGCTTCCGCAAAGACCGTAAGTTCTATGGGAGAGTGTCAGAGGAAAGGGCTCGTCGAGGTTGGATAGGTGGGAAGGGTGAAGTACGCCAGGCAGCCAGCCAGCCAGACGGACAGACAGACAGACAGGTGGATAGCCAAGGCACATGGACTGCCAAGCTGGTCGCGTCGGAAGACTTGTAGACATCAAGAACGGTCGGCTGGGCATAGGGTGAGGGGCTGAGCGGGCGAGGATTACGGCGCTAAACGCGGCTTGGAAGAGGTGTGTGTGTGTATGTGTGTCCGCGCGTATTGCGTGGGACGGGAGGGAAGGTCCCAAACGGCAAAGCCGTTCGTTCACCTTCATGACGCACGTCCCCCACGTCGCCATGGACCGAGCCAATCCCCCCCTCCCTCCCCTGGAGTGAACTGGCATCTCAGCCTGACCAGGTCCCTTCCGCGAGGTCAGTCGTGCAATCAGGTGGGCGACTGCTACATCCGCTCACCCGAGACAAGGATGTCCACGGCACCCTCCGTCGCGTCCCAAATCTCCGGCCCGGTGGTCTCGTAATGCACCTTCGGGTTGTTCGGATTTTGAAACTGCTGCAGCATAAACGCGTCCGGTGTGGAGGCCAGGATCTCCTCCGCCTTGGCAACAGCGCCCTGGACACAACCAAAAGCCCAACAGCGCCAATCCAGTTAAAAGCAGGAACAGGTTTTAAGCATATCTCCTTTCGACAGCAAGCAGGTCAGATCATAGCCTGGAGAGATCAATCCCCAACACGCCTGCATCGGTTCGGGTCTGGTTGCACCGACACAAACGCAAAACACAGCAGGATTTCGCCGAGTGCAACTGATCTGTAAGTCGACCAAACCCCTGCCGTCACCGGATAGCACGTGCAAGTGCTAGTGTTCTCTCTCCCCTAGCATGTCACCCCCTGCCAAACCCTCCCTCTTGCCTCCCTCTACGGGACCTTCCAGACTGACCAGCTGACCACTGGCAGAGAGACGCCCCAGGCCGCAACCCTTACCTTCATGCCCTTGGCTGGGTCCGTCAGCACCAGTTCCGCCCCAAAGGCACGCAGCAGGATGCGGCGCTCCATAGACATGCTGGCGGGCATGGTCAAGATGAGCTTGTAGCCCTTAGCTGCGGCAATGAAGGCCAGGCCGATGCCGGTGTTGCCGCTGGTGGGCTCCACTAACGTGGTCTTGAGGACGAAGAGGAGGTCGCGTGGACAAGGAGCCGCAGAGGAATAAACGGTCGGGATGGGGCGGACATTGCAGGAACCGTTCAAGCAGGAACCAAATGTGAGCGGCCCAAGCGGTTGGGGTGAGGCGATGACACACGGATGTCCATGCACGGCCAGTCGAGCGCGTGCGCATGTGTATGTGTGTGACCCAGATCAGCTCTAGCTCGGGAGGAAATGACAAAGCGCCTCGTTCGTAGGATGGAGGTCGGCATGCTGACGGCCGGCCGTGGCGAGGACAATCAAGGTTTGAACCAAGAAGGGCCGAGCGCTGGGCCCCTAGTGGCACACACAGCTGCGTACCTTGCCGGGCGTAATCAGGCCGTCCTTCTCAGCGGCTGAAATCATGCTGTAGCCAATCCTGTCGGAACAATCGAAGTTGCGCGACAGAACCGATACTTGTGAGGGCTGTAGACATTGGCAAGAGCTGAGGCGGCGACGAAGCTGGAGAGGCTGAAGAACGTCTTCGTGGTGCTTTCAACAATCCGAGGCAGTGAGTAGGGTAGGGTTTAGTATATTGCGAGGGAGGTCCGGTTCTGAGTGCGCTCGCCCGCGCTACAAGGCAGGACGCTGCCAGACGCACGCTACCGCACCTGTCCTTCACAGAGCAGCATGGCTCCATAATCTCCAGCTTGGCAGCGATCTTGGCCACGCACCCATCGGTCACCTTATTCAGGTATACCATAGGGGTCTTCCCTGTAAATTCAGTATAGGGTTTGGTAATCGATAGCGGTTGAAGGATAACATGCGAGCCAACGCTGTCCGACGGCTCGAGAGGCGAGGCCAGAGAGTAACAAACTGGTCTGGCGACCAACCAAATGATGGAATATACATCTGGCGGCGGGGTGATGCATTCCGACAGCAATCGACACCGACACGCGCGTGCTACCTGGTACCCACCAATCAGCTGGGTGACATCTGATGCAATGTTCATCTCCACGGCCTTATCAAGCGCAGCCACCGCCTTGGGTGCAATGTAAGCGCGAGAAACCTGCGCAGTTCGGGGTGGTCCCAGTGCAATTACCGAAGCCACAGAGTTTTTAACCGGATCATTGCAGGATTCACATAACACAAACCATGATATGTGTTCTAGATCATCGTGAAAATAATAAAACGTGGACACCAGGCCGCCAGGCCGCATTTAAACCAGGGCAGCGTTCTTTGCAATGTTTCTATCCGGGAGTGCCACAGCTGAAAAGAATACTCACCCGCACGCAACCAGAACGAGCAGATTGCAGACGTGCCACACTCTGAGAGGTGTGAAGGCGCATTATACTGTAGGACCGTTGCTGCAACCTGCAAGGCCTTGCACCACGCACGAGCACCCAGAACTAACTGAAATAAACAGCGGTTTTAAGTTTGCACGTTGCACTTAAACTTGAGATGCGTCTTGTACGGCGAGGTCGTCAGGTACCCTACAACAAGGGTAAAAATACATGTAACAAAGTAATCATTTTATTGCTATATTCGTCTGTGTTATGCTCATCAGCAGATGATCATACGATGCACACGATACAGCCGGAAGCCCGGAACCCGTCGTCTCGTCAATGCTTGTGTCATGTCACGTGCCATATCCTGCAAAACTCTCAAAGCTCCCGATTCCAACATTCCCGGTGTTGGCAATGAATGATCCAGATGCTTGGTCCTACAGGGCCTGTAATAGTAAACCGGTGATGCCTTTCGTCCTAACTTGGAAAATATTGCATTACGTTGATTGAAAACACGTATGAATGCTCACCTTACACGCAATTTGAAGTCAAAATGCTCGTCTGGAAAGCGAACAGCTCGCGCTCGCAAAACAATGCACCGTGCGGTTTCTGCAGGCGTAGGAACTGTTGTACAAGGATATTCCGCACAAATGCAGGTAGCCCCCCATAAAAGCCGGGGAATCATGGACGGTCAATAGCCATTACTGTGCCGTGAAATGAAGACCTTGACGTCCTTCCATGCTCGCCTCCGTGCGCCTGAGGGCGATGTGCATGGTCTCCCAGACCTCCTAGACAAAACCATCCAAAACTTAAGGGGGGGCCCCCGTCATAATAACGCACATAAGAAGTCGCTATGTTTTCATGTCGTACCATCAAAAAGAGGATGACCAAATAGGCTTTACTAATCTGAAGCCGGCACCAAAGCTGAGCGGCTCTGCATAACTCGGGCCCAATTTTCTCAACGCCGACATGGCGACTTCCTACGCCTGCAGAATTGTGAGGAGTGCCCCTTCAGGAGGCATATCTTCGTCTCTTGCACGTGCCGATCAGCAGTTGCCCGTTCAGGCGCAGCTGTTAACGCGAGGCATTCACATACCGCCACTGCTGGTACAGGCGCAGTTGCCAGACGGATGCATGACACGCATACACGCACATCTGCACCTATTCGATGCGCAGCCGCTGACATAGGTGATTACATGGTACGTGCTCTAAGCCCCTATCCAAAATCCGAAACCACGAAACCTTTAGCCGGGTGCGCTGGTAACCAATCTCTTACAAGCGGTCCTGCTTGGCAAGCACGTCCTGCTTTTCATTATAGAGCATATGTAAGGGAGCATATGTAAAAAAAATACTCTGCGCCAGCGAAGTCTAGTCCCACGCCAAGGGCTCAGGCTGACATCCCAGCTTTCATACTGAGGCCAAGAATGTATTAGTCAGCTTCCTGGGCGCAGGCCATAACAAAGCACAATGGCAAAGCGCACAATGGCAAGGCAAGGCAAGGCCTTACGTGCATAGTTATTCTTGGGAAGGTTCACCCGGGTTCGGTTCCCCCGCACTCCAGCGGGCACCAATGCTAATGGCAACAGGCTCCCACTCACACCCCTTCCCACTCTTAAATCTAATCCGTCCTACCAAACACAATCCTATACTATTCAACCATACAATGTCCGCTCACGCTGTTAAATCAGCCCTAGCTACAATTATAAGCTCGCCAACGCCCACATACGAGCCGGATGCGGTGACATACGAGAGTGACATAAAGCAACACACGTTATTGCCGCGAGCCCTACCCACACCACGCTGTGTCCAGTTCTGTTCACATGGACAGAATGCAGCGCGTCCCTCCCTTTCCTACTGCCCCCTTTTTCCCGGCCTAAAAGCATGACATTACCAAATGGACGCACCGGTCACACAAGGCCCACAGCGCGGCCTGCTCATCGTTACATTTGCTCATCGTTTAGAAACCCTCCGCCTCTCAACCTATCGCAAGTCGAGTGCACACTTCCCTCGGACACAGTTTTATCATCAGTTCGTCAGGGAAACGGGCCTTTGCTGAAGTTGCATCCTGTGCTGTAGGACAACAACCCACGTCACGCTGCAACGGTTGCACTCTAGGCGGGAGGCCGGCCAGGCTTAAGCCATCAAGCGCAAATCTGCGTGCAAAGAGAACGACAACAACACAAAGAAACGCCGCCATGCTGGCCGCTGCCGCTCGCATATACGGCGTAGACGGCGCTTGGGACGCTCGGGCGCCACCTTCCCTTTCCCTCTTCCCGCTCTCCATCATTCCTCAAGACCAGACATCGCGAACGTAGCGCCGCTCTTGTGCCAGGTTCTGCAGTCGTGCAGGGAAGAGCATTTTCACAAACAACAGCAGCCCGACGAAGTAAGTGCTGGGAAGCTAACAATGAAGAAAGCACAAGGCAATTGCAAAGACGATCCCGAATACACTTGTGTCGAAATCAGCGCGGAAGAGAGCGGCCTCCGACGCGCAATGGCATACGAAGCCCCCTAGAATGGAGAAGACACCATATTTCTCTCTGCCGCTGTGCCCCCATGTCCAGCTGCTGACAAACAATACGCTGGTGTACCCCCGGTCACATACCACTGCCCCCTGCAGACACACATCCCACAACCAGGAGCACGCACCTGCAGGAACGCAGTTGCGTCCTGTTCGCTCAACCCGCCGTACTGTTGCACGACACCTGCCAGCGCAGCATGGACGTCCTTGGACATGGCTACGCCGTCGCCGCACACGTAGACATGGGCCCCAGCCTGCAGCAGCGCCCAAACCTTCGCCCCCTGCTGCTTGATGAGGTCCTACACGGGCGTGGAAGAGATAGGGCCCACCCCCCCGCAGCTTCGTTCAGTGCGTGAGCGGGAGGAAGGACGGCAGCTGGCCCGAAACGCGCGACCTAAGAGAGCCTGCAACTGCGTATACAACGCAGCTAATTATTACCATTTTTCAGGGACCACCGCCAAACGACCAACTTCTGGGTTACCTAAATTGTTTGCTTTCATGCAATCTCACAACATGCGCGAGCTATTTGCTACATGCTGCTTTCATGTTCCGGCGGGCGAACCAACTCTCTCTCGCTCTCGCTCAACACACATGCACAAAAACGGATGTGACGTAAAAGTTCCTGCGCGCACACCGGTCCCGCAAACTAAACCCCTCCCCCACGCGCCCATCTCCGTTCATTCACACAACAAGCCACAGGCCCTAAGTCCCACTCCCCCACTCACCTGCACGTACACCTTGTCCGCCTGTGCGCGGCTGAACGCCACGTGGAGCGCCGCCAACGTCCCCTCCACCTTGAACGCCTCAAGCTCCTCCTTGTACAGATAGTCTTCATCGTCTCGGCGACAGCCAAAGAACAGTACCGCCTCGCCCAGGAGCTCGGGGGCAGGCTGAGGCGCCATCATGTTTGGAATGGAGTGGAGCGCGGTGGATTGGACGTGATTGCCATAGACGAGGTGGCAAGGGAAAGGAGGTGAGAGAAAGCAGGGGAAAAACAATTTAGCACCGAGGACAAAGACGAATGGAACTGAGGTGAGGCTGGGCGTAGGGTCCAGAAGACCAGGAAGAGCCTGCGCGGCGGCCACCGGAGTGGCTGGCCTAGCAGAGGCATTCCATCGCCGGGTCCAACAGCGAGGTCCAACCGTGCACAAGCACCAAAACTTCGCGAGTGTTTCAGGGTCTATAAACATATATTGCGGCTGCCATTGGCGCGCGCCTGCACCCAGTATCCTTTCCCCTCCTCCATTTCCACCATCTTCCGCCCATCGCGCCTCTCTCCTTGTACCTTTTGCGCCAGGATCTGCGCCCGCCGCTCCTGCAGGAAGCCCCGGAAGGGCGCCACGCCCGTGCCGGGTCCCACCATGACGAGCGGAGTGGCCAGACTGGGCGGCAACTTGAAGTCGGCCGCGCGGCGCAGGAAGATGGGCACGTAGATGGGCTCCTCCGGCAGCACAGCGCCCTCCGCGGTGAACGGCGCCGCCAGACGGTCCAGCCACGTGGTCGCCACGCCGAGGCGAGTGCCGTACCTGCACATGTCGTACAGTCGTACAGGAACAACGTGAGTATACTGCTGTCGCCACCGCGCAATTTTCTTCAGCTGTCCGCTTGAGGGAGAGTGAGTGTATCAGAAGAGCGGGGAAAATTGCGGACGATAGAAGGATTATAAGGGAAAGGACTGCAGGGACGAAGAAGTTAACCCAGCCCAGCCCAGCCCAGCCCAGCCCGGTCCTCACCGCGTCTTGAATCGCACCACCGACAGCGCTACACTCAAGTGTGTGGCACCACGTGCAGGGTCCCTCCGTGAGGAGCTGATCGAGTACATCCGGGGCATCAGCGGGGGCAGCGCATCCAGCAGTGCTTCGAAGGGGGCGTGGACGGAGCGGAAGCGAACCAGCAGGTCCAGGATGGAGGGCTGGTGCTCGCTGATTTCGTGCGCGTAGGCGTCCTTGCCGCCTTGGGACTGTGGGAGGAAGGATACAAAAGAAGAAGAAGATGATGATGATGATGGTGATGAACAAGAAGATGTGCAGAAAGCATCAACGTAAAAGCAAAATGGAGCCTAGGACTCAAGGGAAGGCGCGGTGGTGGTGGGGAAAGCGTACGGGCACGCGCCACAAGTAATATCGCCTTGGCGGTATGGAAAGTCATTCACACAATGATTGGAAACTCCATCAAAAAGCGCTGACTCCAAAAGCTGCATCCAAGACTGCACAACTATGGGGAGTAGCTTCATCTGCAGGGATGTCCCCAAAGCAAGGGTTCCGCAGGCCAGCATCCTAAAGGCTGGAAGTATTTTAGGCTGCCGTGTTGGCAGTGTGACGAGTCCAGCGAACCCTTGGAGTTGAGGTTCATGAGTGTACGGAACTACCTTGGAGCTGAGGTACATGAGTGTACGGCGCTCTGCCGCGTCCGTTGCATGCTCCGCCAGCAGCCGCAGCACGCTCTTGCGCGTCACAGACGTCAGATCGACACAGTGCGACAACGCATAGCCAACACTGCAAGGACTGGGAATATGGCTGGCGACGCGGCCGCCGCTGCTGCCTCCAGCAGCGCTGGCTGCCGCCCCTGCCGCGGGCTGCAGCGTGAAGACGCGGTCCGGGTTGAGGTTCAAACGCTTGCACAGGTTGGTGATTAGGTCGGGATGGTTGACGGGCAGCACGCCGATGCTGTCTCCGGGCTCGTACACCATGTTGGAACCGCGAATGGAGAGCTCCAAATGGATCACCTTACGATCTGACCAGAAGGCCGTCTCGTACCTTTAGGATGCAATACACCAGTCGTCGTACATGCATTGTACGATATTTGGTGTATAGGACACGGCACACGATGAATGACGGGAGCCGGCGTGAAGGCCGGGGCAAAAAGGGGGTGGCTCTCGTTAGATGTATGTATGTATGTATGTATGTATGTATGTATGTATGTATGTATGTATGTATGTATGTATGTATGTATGTATGTATGTATGTATGTATGTATGTATGTATGTATGTATGTCAGAGGTGTGTGTGTGTGTGTGGAGGGAAGAGGTGAGCAGAGCAGGGCGTCATGGCTGTGCGCAAGAAGGGGGTGAGCAAGGCTTGTGCACATGGGCCCAAGAGATTCCTCATCACGCCACCATCACTCTGCTACCCACAGCAGACGTGTGCGCGAGATTACTGAACAAACGGAGTCGCCGCAAGCGCACGTGTTAACGATGTGCCGACGTGTGTGCGAGTTTGTGCGCCTGCCCCGGCCGCACCTGGCATCGGAGATGTGCGACCAGAAGGGCTTCTCCGCCGAGTAGACCCCCTGCGGGTCGACTTGGTGCCGCTCCTCCTTCGTGGGTCGCCCCGCCTCCTGCTCCCGCACCCCACGTGCGCGGCCCTCGTCCTTCTCCCAGCTCAGCTTGATTCGGCAGGGCAGCAGCGGGGGCGCGCCCTTGGTATCCACACCCACCGGCGCAAGGCCCATAAGCATGCCATACGTCTTCTCGTCCTGCAAGGGATGGAATTTGAATTTGGTGGGTTTGGTAAGTTGAGTTGGAATTTAAAATTTATGATCATATATGCAAAGAGTGGCGTCTGCGACAACCGTAATCACGGTGCCTAGGGGAAACCTGGACGCTTACAGAGGTCTCCCCTGTCCTCAACAGGACCCCTCCAACCACACAGGGGGCAGTCCAACCCATCGGCAAAGTTGGCGTCGTCGGACGACGGTCGTCCCCAATCTCACCGCAGGATGGGGAGGGGAACTACCACCAATCGAATCGAACCCTCATAGAAAATCCGCAGCACCCGCAGTGGAAGAGGCGCCTCGGCCTCGGCGTTAACTTCCCCCGGCCGAACCCCAGGCCCCCCAGTTCGAGGGCGCGCAGCTCGAGGCCAGACGGGCCCCCCCCGCTAGGGCATAAGTCGGCAGTGCTCAAGAGGCCCCTTAGGCCTCACCTTCCGCTTCACCACGGTTTCCTCGCGCTTGGGGAAATTGACGTTGATGGGCTTTGCCTGCAGCCGACTGGGCGGCTTATCACCTGTACGGCGCCTACTGCTGAGAGGAGGGTTGGCAAACGAAGGGGTACAAGGAGTATAGGGCGGTAGGTGCTTCTGGCGATTGGGGCAAAGGACGGGCGGGGAGGTGCTGCTCCGCGGTGTGCATGTGATGTGGGGGGGAGTAGGAAGGAGGGACGCTCCGCTGTGAGGAAGCAAGTCCTCCGGGAGGTTGGTGGCGCCAAATGCCTTCGGAGGGCGCCCCCCCCTCACTTCCGCACCGTACTGCATTACCGCATGCGCGCCGCAGCAGCAACAGCCGCAGCTGCAGCATACAAGGGAGCCAGAGCGTAGCCCCACCAGTCAAACGTCTGCACATGGCTACCTACACGGGGAGGACGAGCGCATCCGAAAATTCTTCCGGATGATTTGCTCGTCCCATGCTCGCACAGGCATCCAGATGAGCTTCAAGCCAGATCCAAACGTAGAGCTGCAACAGATCCTCGGTTTTAAATCGGATTCGAATCTCAAAATTAATCCGCACCTGGTTTCCATGTCCGTCGAGCGACGGTTGCCGCCATGTCGCCGTGCCGTCGCTGTGCTGCCGCTCGCATAGCTCATGCTCGAATCCGGCCGGCTATCGAGCGCTGCCGCTGCCGCAGGTGATGCCTCGCCATCCCCCAACGCAGTCTCGCCATCCGCCGCAGCCTCCAACAACCCGGGGTCGTCCTCGAACACGCGCGACTCCGCAATCGTCGGCAGTCCCACCGTCGCCGCCGTGGGTGCCGTACTCGCCGCCAGCGCTTCCACAAGCTTGTCAGGCAGCAGTGACGCCGGCTCTCCGGCGGCCTCAGAAGCAGCCCCAGCGGCGGCGGCGAAGGCGCCAGAGTCAGATGCCACCGACGCGGATGTGCAGTCTTCGGCGCCCGATGGCGGCGATACCGGCTCCGGGCTCTGTGCCGCGGCCCCTGATGATGGAGGCGCCTCTACCGGCGGCGGCGATGGGGAATCGTCAGCCGCTTTGCCTGGAGGCCCCGGCGTGGTATCCACCGGCACCGGCAGAGCCTCTGGTGGAGGAACCTCTGGTGGAGGCTCTGATGCTGTTCCCTCAACCGCCGCCGGTTCCTCATCTTTCCTCCTGGCGGCGTCTTCCTCCGCCACTGTCACTGCCTCTGCGGCTGCGGCCTCCGCCGCCTCCGTCGCTCCTTCTGCTTCTGCGGCCGCCTTCGCCGTCGCCTCGGACTCTGCCGCCTCTGCAGCTGCCTTCGCTGCAGCCGCCTTCTCCGCCGCAGCCTTAGCTGCCAATTCCGCTTCGGCCTTCTCAGCAGCGACCCTTGCCGCCGCCGCCTCTGCAGCCGCCTTTGCCGCCACTCCCGCAGCTGCTTTCTCCGCCGCTGCCCTTGCCGCTGCCTCAGCTGCTGCCTTTGCGGCGGCCGCCTCCGCGACGTCCTTCTGGACCGATTCAGTTCCCTCCGCCGCGGCGGCAGCCTTGCCATGAGCCTACAGGTCAGATTTGCACGAGTCAGCTAGGTCTGCACGTCCAAACCCAGTACATCAGCTTCTGGCCCCACCGGCATCCCCATACACGCATACCCTGAAAGCACCCTCCCAGCTCCAGGCTACCCGTAGCCCTACCCGTAAAGCGCGCCGTGAAAACATCCACCCGTTATCTGGGCCCTATCTACCACTTACCACCTCGTCCCTGCCTCACGGCCCCTTAATGGATAACCTCCGACCCCTTGCATAACCCGTGACCCGGCCCTTGCATAATCTCCTCCCCGCCGGTCCGCGCAAGCCAGCCTGTCAGCAGTCAGAAAGGCAGCCATGCAACCCATGCACCACATCGCACCTCAGTCGCATGCGAGACCGCAGCCTTTAACGCAGCCCAGAGTCCTTCCGTCCAGGGGTCAACCACATTCTCCACTCCTTCTACCTCGTCCGCCTCCACACAGCCGTAAAACTCCTTCGCACCCAGCTCCGCCAGCCGTCCCTTAATGGAGCGCGGCACGTACATGAACCGCGTGTAGTTCGAATCGCCCAGCCCCAGAACCGTGTACTGTACACCCGCCAGTGGCGCTGGCGGCGGTGGAGGCGCACCGGCAGGGGGTTTGCGCCGCATCGCGACAAAGAACGCTGCGGCGTTGTCCGGCGGGTCACCATCGCCGGTAGAGGAAGAGATGACGATAAGGACGGGTGTGCGGGCCGCGGAGAGTGCCGCAAACCCTAGCTCGTTCAACGATGCGCAAGTGGCGTTGAAGCCCTTCTCCACCGCCTCTGCCGCCAAGTTGCGTGCGATTTCCAGGCAGGTGCCCGTCTGGCTGCCAAACAGTATAGTGACGGGCACAGCGCTGACCACGGGTGCAGGTGTCGGTGGGGGCGGCTTGGCCGCGGGTTCTGACTTAGGCAGAACAGGCGCAGGTGATGGTGCAGCGGGGGCGGAGGTGACGGCTGCGCTTGGAGTAGGCACGAGCGCCACTGCAGCGGGCTGCTCCGCCGGCTGCGTCAGCGGCTTGGCGGTGTCGGTTCGCTGTTTGCGGAAGCGCGCTAGGATGGCAGCACCCCCCGTTGCGGGAATGTGCACGGCCGTGGGCTCCTGCTTGGATTCTGTGGGCGGGGCTGGAGCCGACACTGGATCTGCCTTGAGCGCATTACTAGTGACTTCGGAGGCCTTAGCTTCCTTGAGAGGCTCCGGAGCTGGCACGAGACTGCGGGTTGGCGTCAGCTGTACCGGGGGTACAGCGGCCGCAGCTGCTGGCGCCGGGTCTAAAAGTACCAACGGGGCTGAAATGGCCAGGGATGGCGTGAACGCTGGCTGCTGAGGGCTCGACGTTGTCGGGGAAGCCTTTGCGGCAGCGGCGGCAAATAGATCAGCGCGGCGCGTCGGGCTGGCAGTCGAGGCCTGGGCCGGCACGGCCTGTGTGTTGAAGTGGGGAGGAGGGGTGCGAGAACACAAACGTCAAACGGCTTCATCAAGAGTTGTGCATGTAAAGCTTTAAAACACCTTGATGTAGAATATCCCTAGTCCAAACTCCAGGCCATTAACATTCAGCTTCCACAATGGCTAAGTAAGCAAAATCAGCGTTTCTGGCCATAGAACATCCCACATTTAGTCGTGTGTTGCAACATAGCCATAATATGGACTCCTTAAAGCTGGGATCCATGGGAAACGGTCCATTCTGCGTAGCCATGTCGAGTTGCCAAACGGACAACGATGAAGCGATGAGTATATATGGGCTAACACAGTAAACAATTCTAGCACCATGGTATGTGTTTGCATTTCTTGTGCAGGAAGTCTGCACACTCGTTTATTGCCATTCGGATACGCTTCTCCGTCAGGTAAATGCCTGGATGTATAGACGTGCACATCCTGCGCCAAATTATTTCATACTTCATGGCGTAAGCGGCTACTTCATGGCGTAAGCGGCTTGGAAAACTGTAATAGTACGGCTTCAGGCCACCCTTCTCAGGCAAACTAGCCCCATATCGCCCACAGAATTTCACGTCACTCACATCAACCAGCTAAGCTTTATTCGCTCACACACAAATGCAGAGCAAGGCAACGACACAGCCCCGGCTCCAACTATCCCTCCTTAACAAACTGCTGAACAAAGAAGCGACATATGTAGCAAGAGGCAGCCATAAAACATTTCAGCTCTAGCACCTACTGATTTGTGCACAGGCGCACACACAAAACACGCCACATCCGACACCACATACCTCAGTCGATGCAGCTACTTGAAAAGATTTGGTTTGGGGTAATTGCTCCTCGATAACCTCCTGTGAATCTGCAGGTTCTGATCGCAAAGTAGTCTGGTTGGTTTTCGCGCCGTCTTGATCAATGCCGTCGCCAGGGCCTTCATCAACCGATTGGCCGCGAAGTTTAATGATAACAGCAATTACAAGGACTCCTGGGACCAGAATCGCCGCTAGCGGCGTAAAAAGCAAGAGCACCCCAAAGCCACCAGCAGCTGCAAGCAGACCCAGTTGGCCCCAAGGATTGCCTACGGGCGGCCTGAGGCCACGTCCGCTGCCCATGTCCGCCGTTGCACCTGTATAGCTGTCTTGTAATAGAAACAAGTCACCGCAATCAGGGCTCGTTGAGGAAAACGATGGTCTAACGGTGAAGCATCGCCTAGCGGCGCAGCCTGGTCGGAGTTAGGCAAACTTTACAGGCGTAAAAGTAAACAACATAAATAGATTCTACATACCTACCTGTGTGAAAGGATGTTGCTTATGAGGTGTAGTAGTTGGTCAAGTACGTCAACCAAAAATGTTGTTCGCAGCGGCATGTTCGGCAATTATACTCTTACAGAGCAGAACGAAAACACATAGGCTGCTCGGATTACTCGCTGCCAACACTAGGAAAGGAACATTATGGAAGGTGACGGCTGTGTCCAACTGTTCGCTCCAAGGCCAGCTAAGAAACGAAAAACGAAACAGGAGCAGCCCCCATCAAATGAAAACAAGCCAGAAACACTTAATCAGGCACGAGACGGAACCACACCGGCGGCCGGGCATGACAAGCGCTCCAAAAAGCAGCCGGAACAACCGCTGGAGGGCAGCGTTGAGATCGCCGCCGTGCCAGATGGCGTTGCCGCGGAGCGAAGTGGTGGAGTTGCTTCCACCTCGGACGTGGCAGCGGTGCCCGCGGACTTCAAAAGCCTCGGCCTGTCGGAGTGGCTCTGTGGCGTGTGCAAGTCTCTGGGGATGAACACGCCTACGGAGGTGCAGCGTGGCTGTATCCCAGCCATCTTGCAGGGCCGCGACGTGATCGGCCTGGCACAAACCGGCAGCGGCAAGACCGCCGCCTTTGCGCTGCCCATCCTCCAAGTCCTAGCCAAGGACCCCTACGGCGTCTTCGCGCTGGTGCTCACGCCGACTAGGTGCGTTTGAAACCCCTGGCCCCTCGCCTTCACCTTTAAAACACCCCGCCCACAACCCGCCTGGGCCCCCACAACCCGCCTCCAACCCGCCTTTTACCGTTGTTCTCACGATTCTCTCACGTATTCCCACATCCCGCCCTCCCCACCCCACAACCACTAACTCCCCCCTTCCCCGGGACCCACACGCAGGGAGCTGGCGGCTCAAATTTGTGAGCAGTTCCGAGCCTTGGGTGCGGGCATGAGACTCAAGGTGCGCCGAGTCCTGACCCTCTCCACTCCCTCGTGCCATGCCTCGTGTGATCATGCAATCATGCTTGGCTGGCGGCTGGTGATAGCCGCAACAGCAGCAGCAGCCAGAATATGTTAAAATGGGTTGAGCCCATGACGTGTATGCCTGCCTGCCTGCCTGCCCGCCCGCTGACCGACGAGCGGAGCCCTGGATGTGATGTGCGGAGGGCGAGCAGGCGGCAGGCTGGCTTGGTTGGGGGGTTCGGGGGCCCAAGCAATGAGAGCATGAGGCACCAGGAGGGTTGAAGGGGAGAAACCGAAGGGGAAAGGGGCCACGGGGGCCTTTACAATGTGGACGGGACCCGGAGGGCTCCTGTGTCCAAGCGATGGATACACCGGCAGCTGCTGTCTATCGGCATCTCCCTACTTCGTATTTACCACCTTACTGCTGCCGCTGCTGCTGCCGCCACTCTGCGGTCGACCTGCCCCTCCCACCCTGTTAGGAGCTGGTGATAATAGGCGGTGTGGACATGCAGCACCAGGCCAGGGAGCTAGCCAGGAGGCCCCACGTGGTGGTGGCCACGCCGGGCCGGCTGAGGGTGAGGCTGAGAGGGGCCGGCGGCCCCCTAGGGCTAGGAAGAAGGAAGGGAGGGGGAAGGGGCGCACTGGGGCAGGTGTAAGGACAGGGGGCCCGGCTGAGAGGAGATGGAAAGGGGTCGGTAGAAGAGGCTGGGCCGGAAGGGGACATGGATGGGGATGGATGGGGCTAGGGTGGGATTTACCCCCGACACCCCCATCACCCTCATCCGACCCCACCCACCCCACCCCCCAGGGTCTGCTCGATGCTGACGGGGGGCTGTCCGCGGGTTTGAGCCGCACGCGGTTCCTAGTACTGGATGAGGCGGACCGTGTGCTGGACCCTACGTTTGAAGACGACCTAAGGTATGTGCGCTTGTTGTATGTCGGTTTGTCTGTGTGTACGTATGTCGCTGTGGACGCTGCTACTGCAAGCTGGCCGCAACCACCACTAGTGGACGTGTGGCGCCTCACACGCACACCTCGTGTTCGTTCATCCGCTTATCGTCTCTGCTCTGCCGGCTCATCTGTATATACACATACATACACACACACACACACACGCCAGCAGTTTCAAACTTTGGACGCCTTCCGGCAGTTCATTCCTTGTTCCTTTCCTTGCATGTGCTTTCCCCCCTTGCCTGCGTGTCCTCTCGTCCATTCCTCTCCTTACCCTCTTCCCTCCCCCCCTCCCACGCATACACCCAGGCGGATCCTCAGCTGCCTCCGACAGGACCGTCAGACGCTCCTGTTCTCAGCCACAATGACACGATCACTCATAGCGCTGCAGAAGGCCTCACTACAAGATGCGCACGTATTCCAGGTACGGAAACGTACGGCAGCACGTCTCCAACCACTGGTTGAGCGGGAGATATGAGGTGCCGCCGCAGCCTTTATCCAGCCCCACTGCCATTCATATCCCTTCCTCTTTCCTCCTCCGTCTGTCTGCCTGTCCATCTGTCTGTCTGTCTGTCTGTCTGCCTGTGTTTATTAAGCCATCCCTCTCATCTTTGCCCCGGCCCTCTTCTTCCAGGCGTACGAGGGTCTTCGCACCGCCGACCGCCTCCGTGAGGAGTACCTGTTCCTGCCGGCCAAGGTGAAGGAGGTGTACCTGCACTACCTGCTCACGGTCGTGGTGCCGGCCCGCAAGGTCCGCTCCGCCATCATCTTCTGCAGCACCTGCCGGGGCTGCCACCTGCTGTCGGTGCTGCTGGAGGAGCTGGGGCTGCCGGCGGCGGCCCTGCACTCTGGTGCGGGGGACGGGGGGGAGGGGGGCGGGGGGAAGGGAGGGGGGGGGGAGGGGGGGAGGTGTGTTAGGGAGAGGACATCCCCTGTTGGAGCCCGGCCCGTTTGCACTATCTCTTTTGTGCTATCGCGCGCTGTGTGCTAGGCTTTGATGGCCCGAGTGGCGGTGAAGTAGCACTCCTCCTCCTCTTCCTCCTGTTCCTCCTCCTCTTTCTCCTCCTCCTCCTCCTCCTCCTCCTGTTGGTGTTGTCATCTTTTGTTGTTTGGGTTTTGAAATTTATGGCGTTTCACACTTCCCTTCTCCTCTGCATATTCATGCTCTTTACCTTCCCTTTTTTCACCCGCATGTTCTCCACCCTCCCTTCCCAGGTAAGAGCCAGAAGGCCCGCCTGTCCGCCCTGGCTCGGTTCAAGAGCGAGCAGGTGCCCCTGCTGCTGGCCACCGATGTGGCATCGCGAGGTCTGGACATACCCACCGTGGACCTCGTGGTCAACTACGACCTGCCGGTGCTGGCCAGGGACTACGTGCACAGGTGGGGGTCGGGGTGGGCGGGGTGGGCGGCGTGCAGTGCGGGGCGGTAGCAGTTGTGAGGTGGGAGGGTGGGAGGATCGGCCGCCATGGCCCGGCCTAACGAGCTTTGCGGTGGGCGGGAGCTTGGGGTGAAGTGAAGCGAAGTCCGTGGGCGCTGGTGGCTTCCAGGAAAGAGGAGATGCTCCTCGTTATTTTGGAAGAGGGGAGGAGGAACTGATTTCTGTTGTGAGTGGGGAAGCTTATTTTTTGTTGTGTGAGTGTGGGGGAGCTGATGTTTGTTGTGTGTGGGAAGAGCTGATTTTCGCGCAACCGGTGTGTTATTTGTATTAGAGGGTGGCTGCGGTTTGAAAGGAGCTGCGTGCGGATTGTGTTCCCCGTGTATGTGCAGGGTTGGTCGTACAGCACGTGCCGGCCGTAGCGGTTGGTCGTTGAGTCTGGTGACCCAGTACGACGTTCAGTTGGTGCATGCCATTGAGGAGCTCATCGGACACAAGTTGGACGAGCACAAATTGGACGAGGATGAGGTTCTGAAGGGCATTACGAAGGTACGGGCTGGGGGGAGGGGGCTGCTGACCGGACTTCTCTGTCGATATTATGCCGACCCTTAGCATATTTGCTATGTCCTATGTATGTATGTATTGGACTCCATTTAACCTTGGCTATCTTTTAATGTTACACTCTACATTTTGGTTTACTTACTGGGGTTGGGTGCCGGGAAACGTTTGTTTTACTGTCGTGCAGGTGTACGGCGCCAAGCGGGCAGCTGTTGCGCGTGCTGAGGAGGAGGGACTGGACGCGGGCACGAGCAAGCTGAGGAGGAGGGCCGCGAAGCAGCTCGTGGCAAGGTGACCGTATGACCATGGTGGCACGGGATGGTGCTGCTGGTAGTGACGACGACGACGATGATGATGATGATGACGATGCTGATGTTCGTTCCGGAAATGGAGGAAATGATGGTGCGACAGCTTGCGGTGTGCGACAGCTTGTGGTTTGTCCTGTTCGGGTTCAACGATTACTTATTACTGCAGGGATGGGGCCATGATGACTTGATGACGCATTATTGCAGTACTGGATGGGGCAAGAAGGATGGGTTGGGCGTGGACTAGTGGGCAGAGCGCAGGATGGTGTGTTGAGGGATGACGGTTGTTACGACTCCTCAGGGTTGTTTTGGGCCGCGACTTAGCGCGTGTTTTTGTTTTCTGGGGTGTTGACGGATTAGGTATGCTCGTGTTAGTGTTAAGAGGGGGAGGCTCTGGTGGAGGACATGTGCGCACTGCGCTACACTACATTTTGGAGCGTAGAAAGAAAGCTGTGAAACCCTACAGTCAGATGCCTCTCTGCGGCCGCAGAGGGAACCAAATTGAACTGCTGAAGTGGCATGTGCACTGCACTTTTCTTTAATTAAAGTAACCAGTAATGGCAATCTCGCGAGTTTTTACCGGCTTGCGCCGCTGGTGCAAACCTCGCCGCCGCAGCCTATCTGCCAGCGTGGAGATTTGCCTGGCCCACACCGGGAGCACACGGGAAGAGGATCACCAAGTGCCAGAATCAGACCTCTCATCCCACCCAATTTCATTTTGCATGTAATTCCACCCACCCACCGATTCATGCATGTCGAGGCGGGGGGTCGCGGAGGTTGGGAGTGAGTAGCCTACCCGTACACTCACATGCACTTACTTTCACCACTTGTACGGCCGCTGCGCTGCGACTTTTTTTCTTCAAGATCATCTTCGAGCAACCACCCATTAAGAGGGCATACAACCAAAGTAGGCGTAGCCACTAAAACCGTTCTCGATCAGGACATTCCTAATGCCGACGAAAAAACTGCCAACAAAGGAAAATCGAGCATCACCGCGTAATAGACTCAAGTCACATCAAATCACATAAAAGCGCGAGAACATTCCACCGCTGATTGCCAACACAATAAGTCATTCGAAGATCAACAAATGGGACCTGAGGATGCTTCCCCTCCAGATAAATACAGTTGCGAAAAGAACTACTCGAGGCGCCGTACTAGGGAATCACGTGCGGTTAGACCCACCGACCCGCCGACCCACCTCACATGCCAAATTGCCTAATGAGGAAATGACGTCTGTGAGTCAGACTAAACGCTGAAGCACGCGATGTTCGGTCACAAGCCAGATAGCACATACACATACACACACTCACACACACATGATATTGGGCAGACTGCGTGTCTACATAGAAATGCCCCACTGTGCCTAAACCTTGGCGATTGCTGCTGCTACGGCTGCTGCTACGGCTGCTGCTACTGCTGCTGCTGCTATGGCTGCTCCTCCAGTTGTAAGCATTGACAATGGCGGTTTCCCTCCCTTTTTAGAGGAGAAGACGAACTTTGGGAAGTACGAACAGAATAAGACAAAAGAGAGAGAGAAAAGCGAGAAGCAGCACAAAAGGCGGTCAAAGATGTTAACGTGGCCATACGCGGCATTCCTCCGCTCTCGCAGTCCCAGTGCCCGCCGGTTCTTCTACTGCATCACTACTTCATCACAGCACCGTGCCATCCGGTATGACCGCCTCCCGGGTAATCACGGTAATGCCGTCCCGTACGTACATGCCTTGTACGGCCCTGTCGAAGGATTCGTACACGCCCTCCTTGTTGACCAGCGCCACATTGCGACCCACACGGCAGTTGAGATCCACGATGGCACGCTGTACGACACTGCCTTCCCCTGCGTGCATGTTTGTACGGCAGTATACACCAAGTGGTAATGCACGACAGCGATGCCTCGACAATTAACGCATAACGATCAACAGAATACATGCACGGTCATCGGAATATGATAACGGTATACCGTTAGACCCGTAGTAAATCTTCCAACCGACACGATTGGGTCCCCCAAAGAAAGGGAAAGTGGGGAAGGAAGCCCTGACGAGCAGGACGACAGCACTTCGGCACAGAATAACGCCAGAAGAAACGACAACTAAACTAAAGAAGAGCGAAGAACAAGTCCTAAAAGCAAAGGATACCAATGCGAATTTAGAGGTTGAGATAGCTCCCAGCGGCAGAGAGGCCGCCAGGTGCCCATACCACCTTCAATACGTCCCCTGAGCAGTCTGATCGCAATGTCCTGCTCCTCCCCCTACAAGAGGCCGTACAGCCCCACCGCCAACCCTCCAGCGCCCCTCTAGGTCGGATATAGGAAAGGAAATAAAACATGTACAAATATATATTTAATGAAAACCGGCACTGTGTTGCGGCACAGAAAAAGGAAAAAGCGGGGCGAAAACAGAAAGATGAGACAGAAGGGATTACGGGAAGTGAGGCCCCGAGGGCGAGCGAGAGAAGGAGAGCTCTTACCAATCCCCATGGGGGGGTAGGTGGGGGACAGCGGCCGCTGCTGCGGCTTCTCGTGCTCGTAGTGGTCAGCGCCCATGATGACGCTGTCCGTGACGGTTACCCGGGAACCTGAAGGCACGGTTTTTGTATGTTAGTGGCTGTACAGGAAAACAAAATTTGTTAGCCGTTTATAAGCCGATATGGCGAGGTGCAACACACACACGCGCCATTAACACGGTGGGTGCGGGTACGTGTACGGGTGAGTGTACGGGGCGGAGTAAAGTTGCCTACGGGGCCAGCAATACTCCATTCAATAGTGGTTTTTGTAGTTGTAGCAGTGGCAGCGAAGTGGACTTAGGGTTCTGCTGCTGCAGTACAACCAAAGGGATTCTTTCCCCTCAGACCGACAGCACCACCCGCTGCAGTACAGTAGCATCAGTAGGTAGACAGCGATCAAACATGATACACAGGACGCCCTTTGCACAGGGACAAATTGTTTTTTTAATCAAATAATCAGAATGATATTAAAACCATAGACCTTCCCAACTACCTCCCCAACCACTTTAACAACCAACCGCTCACCGACGATGCTCCTGGGCCCGATGACGCTGTTTCTAAGGTTGGCTTCATGCAGGATGCAACCCGCGCTCACAATGCACCGGGAGATCCGGGTACCGCGCAACTGACTGGCGGGGATGGTCAGGGGAAATCTGGAGGGGGGGCAGTGAAACCCGGGGCGGGCGGGCCGTGGAGGGGGACGCAGGTTATAGAGGTTATCGGGGGTTTCCTGTGCGCAGACAAAGTCAAAGCGCCAGACATACAGACAAGACATACATAGTCTATACATGTACATATAGGCGTGATACAAACATGCCCGCTGTACACAAAAACAACAAATATGCAACACATACATACAGACACACGCGCAGTGCCCTACTTGAAGAGGGGAGCCTCCGTGGGCCTATTGAGGTCGATGGAGGGGGGGTCCTCCAGCAGCGCCAGGTTGGCCTGGTAGAAGTCCCCCACACTGCCGCCCACATCGGCCCAGTAGCCGGGAAGGCGGTAGGCTTGCACCTGTACGACAAGGGGGCCTAGGGGAAATCATGGAATGATGCGGAATGGCAAGATGTGGAAATCAACTGCCGACTTCACACGTCCAAAGCACCGAAAACGGTGAGCGGGATGATGGAGTGGACGAGGCAGGAGGGGTTGCACGAGGGATTGCCGGGATGAGGGGCGAGGGGGCGGGGGGGCCAGTTGTAAAAGAAGGGAGGGACCCTACCGCTACCGCTACCGCTACCATTACCGCCACCCCCACCAATAATCGTATGTGATTAAAACTCCAAGCAGTTCATCTACAGTTTCATCGTAAAATTCCAACACGTCACTGGACTACCGAGCTCACTTTGGTAAAGCTATTCATGTATAACCATCATCGGCATTTCCCTCATCGCGGCCCAGATTATAACTAACACAGATATACATAATACATACATAATACATACATAATACATAACACATACATACATACATACATACATACATACATACATACATACATACATACATACATACATACATACATACATACATACATACATACATACATACATACATACATACATACATACATACATACATACATACATACATACATACATACATACAGGCTTGTGCATACCCGTAGGCCCTCCCGTATAAGCTCGGGAATAATCTGGCGCCCGAAGTCCTGGGCCTTATAGTGCCGCTCCAGAGCCTTGGACAGTACCCCACGCCTTTGTAGGCAGGAGGTGAGGTGCGGGTGAGGGGTGGGTGCGGGTGCGGGTGAGGGGTGGGTGAGGGGTGGGGCATGAGAGTGAGGGAGAGGAATTGTGTGCAAACAGGATGCAGGGGGAAGGTAGGAATACATCGCAGTTAGGAAACGCCGCGTCGCCAGAAGGGTGGCACGGCAGGAAGGGAGGGAGGGAGGAAAGGACGAGTCGGTAGTTCTAGTCTCGGCAAGGACAGAGCAGGGTAATCGCAGAGATGATGCAACCGAATACCTACTGCATTTATCGTACAGCCCCAGTCGTACATCGTACAACGTGTACCTGAAGATGTAGATCCCCGTGGATCCCACAAACCCGGGGGCTCGCTGACTCAGCTCCACGTCATCTCCGGAGGTCTGTGGAATGACGTCAGCAGCAGCCGCGCGGGTGCCGTACAATGACGATAGGAGAAGAGAGAGGGGGAGCGGGGATTATACGAGCAAAAAATGTAAAAGCATTTACAAAGTAAACCTGAAGCGACCGCCGGGGATGGGAGGGGAGTTGGGTTTTACCTGGTCGGATTGGAGGGTAGGACTGCTAGGGGGGGGGGACTGTAGACCCTGACGGGGCCCCGGGGCGGACTCACCGCGACATCGGCGCAGTGTCAGATATACATGAATATATAGGAAGTGAGAGTGGGAGGACGCTGCCACACGCGCACGGAGTCGCACATCTTTCCTATCGGGGCTAAGCTAATCGCAACACACTCAGCACACATGTACTGGTATCATACATACATACTAACCGACATACGGGGAGAATGAGAGAACCACAGCGACAGGAGCGCGTGATGCAGAGAGATAAAGGATCATGTTTGTAACTGCTCGTAACATCATAAACTGCCAAAAGAGGCCAGGTGGTACCAGGTGCGCGATGCCGTACCGTATAAATACTTTTGAACTGCTCATTAACGTCACAGTGTTGTGGGAATGCCGACGTAAAAAGACGGCGTTGAGGATATGCTTCCATGTTGCACCCACCATCGTGTCCAGAACCACTCGCCCGCCCGCGCCGCCGCCGACTCGCGCATGGCCCCTAGCAGCCCACAGCGCCCGAGCCGCGCCCACCCC